GGCTCTTCGCACACCTGGCCGAGGTAGCACCGGTCACTAAGGGCTGGCATTTTCCTTCTGCCCCTAAAATCCTTTGGGCCGAGCCAGGCAAACCAGAAACCTCCCAGCCGAGGGCATGAAGCACCGCTGCCATTTTGGGTACCAGCATGAACTACTTACGAAAGGGTCTTTGCACCCTCCCAAGGCGGGGTGAGTGCGCAGCCCCTCCTGGAGGGACGACGGGAGGGAGGGGTGTTTGCAGTGGGAGGGGGACGCGGTCGGGAGAGAGCACTTTGGACGTGCACGGAGACCTTCCCCGCGGGGCTGGAAGGACACCGAGGTCCCGGTCTCCTCCCGTGCAGATGTAAGAACTGGCTTATACCCGGGCTTCAGTCCAACAAGCTTCCTCCAGGGAGCGCACACCCTGCTCACAGCCCCCAGGAGCCTGAAGGCGGGAGGGTCCCCTCCGTGCGACCTGGGCACCGTGCCCACCGAGGCAGCTGGGCGAGGGGCTTGAGAGCTCCTTGGGCCTGCGCGTGATGCGTCCTACTGTGCGTTTTGGAAATTATGACGGCACAAGCACGCAGAAAATCAAATAAATTTTCATTTCAAGTGCCTCCACAATATCTTTGAGTCAATTAGCTGTTTAGGATGCTTTTTTTTCTCATTTGGCTTCCGAGATACACAGATGTTGACCTTGTGCAGGGCACACTATAAATTGGATCAAACTAGAGATCTTAACTGCCAATTAAAACAAGGAGAAATGGGATAACCTTTACCCTGCATCGATTTAAAGGATAGAGGGAAGCAAGACCTGTTGTGGGGTTTTTTTTTAGCCTAACAGTCAAGAACACAATTTTTGTTGGTCACCTAGTAAACAGCAATACGTGCTACTGAGGAGGAAGAGCTTGCTTAAAAATGCAGGGTATTGAATTTATGTCTTACTTGTTCAATTATGGTAATTTGGGAGCACATCTGACACTTGTGCAGTTGTTAATGCAGCTTGAGAATCTCAGGCTACTCACATTGGTGGCAGCTTATATAAAATTCACATTTTTATATATTTTATGTTCATCTATTATTTCATAGTGGGAAAATGTAAGAAGTTCTAGGTACAATTTATATTACGAGAGTGACATGTCTTATTTGAATAATTTAGCTTTTAAATGTCTGGTCTGTATTTAATCTGGTATCTGTGAAAGTTGATAGAGTTAGTGGCAAGTCAGTGGAGAATGGCCCATCATGGAATTATTAAAGCAGACAAGCACATTATCACTACGACAAAAGAACTTTACTGCAGTACCTTCCTCTCGCCACAGTATGTTTGCAACTGCAGCATCAGAAAATTGGGAAAGCCAGAAAATAATCAGGAAAAGGAAAAAAAAAAAAAAGCAATGTCAAAATCTTCATTGTAGCAATTAACTGAATTAATACTCATGTTTACATGAACTGTTTAATTTGTGAAAACTCTAACATAACATCATTCAAATAAAATATCAGGAAAGATAGATATTTCTAAATACATTTGCTCATTCTAGAGACAATTCTGAAACTCTGACATGGGAAAAATCCTCACCTAAATAAAGCCAACTGCAGCCTGTGCAAAGATCAAAGTCTTAGTAAAGAGAAGATGTTATCTTCAAATGTAATCGGAGGTACGGTACAGGCTGTGACATTCTCTACAGGTTCAATAAGCAAACATGACATCTTTCAGAAGCCTGAGACCAGCAGTTACAGCAGCTACACACTTTGCTGCATTTCTGCTTGGAATTTCATGCAACTACGTTCTCTTTTAGGATTCAAATACTCTTTGAAAGTACATCTGTATTTGAATTTCTGTTTAGGGTACATCCAATTATTTCTCAACATATTGCAACTGCCCTTCCTCAAGTACTCAAGGGAAAATGACTGATAATTAATAAGAGTACATAAATCTATTTAATGAGGAATAGAATATATTTTCCAAAGAATCACCATGAGAGCACATATTTATGGCTAAGTTTGTCTTCCATTTTTGCTTTACATTAATAGCCAGAAAAGTAACAAAAATCCCATTTGCACCTAGCCTTTTAGTATGACCATGAACCTAGGTAATCTCCCAAGTAGTTAAACCAGCAGAATTAGGAAGGATCAGGCCTCTGGGAGCTTTTCCACTGGGGCAACTAATCACCTCCTTCATTAATTGTGTTTTAGGGACAGTGTGGTCAAGATAACACTGCCGCATTCCTTCGGGAGACATGCAACTAAGAGCGGCTGGGAGAATATTTGTCTTTGAAGTGGGACATAATTTCATACCAAGGGAAACCTATTTTGCTGGTTAGTGAAACTGCATACAATTTGACAGACCCAGTTCGGGTTTGGATTCTTTTATATCTAAAACCATTTCCAATTTGTTACTTCAGTAAAGATGTACCCGTACCACACCCAGAACACCTCTGGCACGTCAAAGGCACCATCGTCCTGGATGAGGAGATTTTACCTTCCCCACGCAATTCCTTCTCAAAACCGTATCCAATCCTCTGATCAAAACGCAGCCAAAATTGTCATTACTTTACAAGTGAGAGTCCAACATACCGCATGCAATGGACTGAACTATTAAATTGCATGTACACTACTAAATTTAAATAGACTTTAAAGAAATAAATACATGGGAAATCAAGCTTACGGGTCTTTCTTGCCGAATCTTCTATGAAAAGTGAAGATATGTCCTCATCCACTCCCACCTCATTTTTAGCAATGCAGGTATAGGCACCGGTGTCTTCATATCGAACGCTACTGATATGAAGTTCGCTTCCATTTGCTGTAAGAAAGACACCCATAAACAGTGTTCCTCACTGCTGCTAATTGCTTTTACTGCCCTTAATTGCCTTTCACTGCTGCAGCCGCCCAACAGGTTGGCTTCACCGCACAATTTTTCCCCGTACATGAATAGAGGTATTTGGGGATTCTCATGAGAGTTGATGTTTTGCTTCTTTCCATTAGCACAAACACACTCTGTGCCAGGAGCAAAGACAGTCCCAAGTGCAAACAACACATTACATTTCATTTATTTCTTCTTGTTAAAAAAAAAAGTGCTTTGACTTTAGTGGACGAAAATTCACTTCAATTTTGCAATCTGTTTTTCATCAGATCACCAAAAACTTGGGTTTGGGAAGGGGTCTCTCTACAGCTCCTCCTATCATTTTGCTTTCTGGAGCGGGAATGTTGCCTAAAACCTTTGGAAAATTTTGAGATATCGCACCCAACCATGCAGGAGCATCTGTGTTGCCAACCCTGGTTGAGGGCTGCAATACAACACAGCCAAATTGGGCTGTGAATGAGAAGGTTTTTAGTATTTTTACACAGAAATTGCAAATAAATATTTTTGCCTTGCATTGTGTCTGTTGCACCCTCATTTGAACAAGGACCAACAGGAGTTGAGCCTGATTCCTTCTGCAGAGGTGGGTGTAAGAAGATAGGTGACCTGCAGCCTGGTTCTCAGCTGACTTGCATTCAATGTAGTGCTTACACCTGAACAAATAATTTAATTCATTTCTCTTCTGATTTGTACAGCTGTACACAAAAGACGAGGCAGTGGAGAACCAGGCACGCTGCCTTTTAACGTAACACCCTTACCACTTATATCAATCAATACTGTATTTCCCGAGAAATTCACAGGAGAAATAGATGAAGAGAAAGAACAGGGGTTTTGTAACGCGATTTCCAACAACTGTGGCTTAGCCAAAGTACAAGAACTTCTAGTTTAAAGTGCAAAATAATCCTCCTTAATCCCCGTCTACAATACTTTAATTGATCAAAATTCTGTTCTTACCTAGGAGCGTTAGTTGTTTGGATAGTTTTGGCATGATATCAATGCCATTCTTTAGCCAGGTAATTCGGGGATTAGGGATGCCTTCGGCGTGACATTTAAGGCTTGCCGACACGCCAGGCTCCTGCGCCTGCGTTTCAGGGTAGACGCGAATCACTGGTGGCACTGTGGGGAACAAGGAATTGGCGAATTTAAACTCACCCACCAGGTACCGGCCCTTGCCGGTAGCTCAAGAGCCGCTGCCTTCAAATGGCGCTGCAGAAGAGGTCCGACCCGAGAACCGGGGAAATAAGCAACGTCCTGGCTTTCAGTGCAAGCTACAGTAACGATTTTTCTACAGCTCAACTTTGGGGGCAGAAAAGAGAAAATAATAATAAGAGTAAGCTAATATACCAATGCCAGGGAGCAACCTCGGTATCTGATTTTGTATTTCGACCGTTCTTGCTTATTCTTGCTTTCTTTCATTAAGTGACTGACTGAACTTAAGTAAAGTTGGATTAAAACCTAGGGTGAATACCCACATATCTAAATATTAAAGTATAAACTCCAAACCTTCACTGAATCTAGTAAGGAAGGAATTGGAGTTCTTGCCTATTAGAAGTAGCACATTATTCAACATTTTAATTAAATATCCATCAGGAAATAGCCAGTGCATTCACTACCTCTTATTCTAAACAAATAAAGTGTTTATAGATTACTGCTTTTCTGATAGGCTTTCAAAATGTGACTTACCTTGTTTCAGGAAGGTCCCTCTGAACTATTTAATGTACTCAATTGGCAGAACTACTAATTATATTACAATTTCAGACAAGTTCATTGATTTTCAATCATGTTGCCTTCATTGCTCAAATCAACAAGGCTTAATATCACCCATTAACTGTTTCTTAACAATTTACTCACATACTTTAAAAAGAATTTGCAATATTGCAGTATCAGTGAAAAATATCAGCGGGACCCTCCTTCCTTTCACCTCAAGGGACATATCAGAAGGAAACGTGAGGATGTGCCGTATCACAGCTGATGGTATTTGAAGGGTGGTCATGGACTGCTGTGTTTCATAATCAAGTGGTCAGCTTTTCTACTAGATTAGGAGATTTTAGGACTCATGATGGAACTGTTGAAAGGTGTACAGTTTGGTAAAACCATGGTCAGAGTCAAATGTGGGGGCCCAACTTCTTCCTCAAGGGAAATGAGTAACCTCAGCTAGCACTAGTGGAGGATTGGGGAAAATTTGTAGGTTTTTTTAGAAAGCCTGAATGAGTCAATAGCAAATTTCTACTTGAAATCACTGGCTTAGGGTACCTAACTCACTGCTGTGTTTTTATATATTCCATCATTAAGCTCCAGGACTAGCAAAATTAAATTGACTTAACAGTTGCTTTAGAATAAAATGAAATCTGTCTTTGCAGCTTGCTATGGGTCTATATATCCAAATGGGGACAGTTTAAATAATTACATTCATTAGCATATACTTTCCATCTTTAGTCCTATTTTTTATGGGCCTTACCAGAGAGAGATGTATTTTACTTCTGTCTTACCTACCAGCTGCCATGTATTAACCAGAGCTGAGTCATCAGCTTGGAAGGAAATCCGCCACAACAGAAAGCCCTCAAGTCTACTTGTTTTTTATAGCTTTAAAAGCCAGAGATTGTTCAAGTATAATCTGAGAGTAAATGCCTCGGGGCAACTGGAGAGACAAAAAAAATGGGGAGTGCTAGCAAAGGAATGGCTTTAAACTCCACCTCTGCACTGGACATGTGGACTTAGTTCCTTCTCTTCTATATCATTTACTTGAGAAGAAAAGAAAATGTGTTGTAAGATGCAGGGAAGTGAGTAAAATACCATGCAAGAGCTATTTAATCAAAGAGACGAGGTTTGTTTTATTAAATTGAGTTTGCAAATTCTAAATAAAAGCATTTGCTAGCTGTTTATCTACTCTTCCTCCCATCACTGTCAGGGTTAGAGGTCCTCCTGCCTTCAGGAGCTGGCAGATCAAGCGGGAGGAGAGCAAAGGCAGTGATCTGCTGTTGGAAACGCCTGGCAGTTGTCAGAGCCATCCCTGCTTTTATTCAAGGGACAGTGCCCAGGCAATTCAGGGGAATAAGACTGAGAGTCAGGAGCTTCTGATTCCGTCTACACCTCAGAAGATTAATTTAGATTTCTCCGAGTCAGTGTCTCTAGGCGCGATAGGATAAAGATAGTAATTTTTGTCCACTTTGACAGAATTTTATGAAGGTCCTGCACTCGATGCTTGTCTCACCTATGATTTGCTTGCTACTACTAACATTTTTAAAATCAAATGATTTAGGAACTGAGGCCCATTGAAAGCCTACGTGATTTATTTAGACTCCTAGAGGAGAGGTGGTTTTCTTCCTACAAATGCACAGGAAAAACCTTGCAGCTAGCTACGTGAAAACCAGCTCCGAAGCAAAGCCTACGAGGTCCCGTGCCCCGTGCAGGGCTCTGCTCCTGCGGGGTACGGCCGCCTGCCGACGCCTGCCCAGCTCCAGGTGAGATGGAGATGCCCCAGCCGGGCTCAAGCCCTTCTCTAACACATCCTGAATGGCCAAAAGCACCAGAGCAATTTTACTCCAAGCCTAATGGTGTTTTCTCACTCACCATCTCTTGAAGGTGCCCATCCCAGACATCATCTATTTAATGCTCTCAAAATGAGCATGGGTTGCTCAGGTTTTCTTATCACGGTTTGCTTTAGGCTTTCCTCTTCATAGGGACACTCATGCCAGCACTCCCAGTGACTGCCACAAGGATCATGCTCCCTAGAAACAGGGCACAGCTTCACAAAGCAGAGTTTACTTGCCTCTCTCAAGTTTTTTTCCTCATACCACATTAGTCTGCATGTGAGTAATCCACATATTTTACCTGCAGAGCTGAAAACACAATAGATTTATATCGAAAAAAGTGGCTCAGGGGTCCTAGACACTGAATCAAAGTACTGCATGAAAATTAGCTTAACCTGAAATTATTAACAAGGTGTCTTTCCAAGAGTGATTAACAAGGAAACTGCTTGTTTTCACCCACAAAAATATGTGGTGCACCTCCATGCCTGCTCTCTTATCATTCTCCTGCTCCTTCCATTTTTAAACTTTTTATTTCTTCTCCCTTGCCTTACATAACTCATTGCAGAGGTAAATTATTGCATGCAACTGCCTTGTGATAACAGCAAACTGCAGAATGCATTTTTATTGTCTGTGCTACAAATTAATACATTCCAAGTAAGCACATTTTACTTAAAACTTGCAAAGATTTCAGCTCCAGACTTCAGAATATATGGATTATCCTTTGCTATTTCCCTTGGTGAATATATATCATTGCTAACCATTACTGTGTCTGCAGCCAAAGGCAATATAAAAATGCTATTATCTTAAGCAAAGTAGGAAAAAAGAGGCATGCAAACAAGAGATTGGGTAGATTGCCTACACTGAGTAGTACCTTACGTGTGAGCAGACCAATTCATTACAATAAAGCAGCTCAGGTGATAAAGCACACGATGAGCACAGATGGCGGCGTCAAGCCCCAAAGACACACATCGCTGCTATAGGACCTATATACTCCAGGGCTTAATAACAATTCCTAGATTCATCATTTACTTCAGATGTTTTAATCTTCCCATTTACGATTTGGAAGGAGTTTGCAGCATTCTATGTTTTCTCTTGAAAAGACACATTAACAAAACATTTGTGTTTAAAACATCTCTCTCTCTCACTGGAAAATTTGTCCTATTGGACCCTTATAATTGGGCCGAGGATCGAATGGCTTTTAAAAACTGTTTTCAAGGAATACGATATTCTGATTTATGCTGATATTTTCCAGAGTGCAAGGACCAAGGAAAATGATGCCCTACACTCAGCAGTCTCTTGATTTGCAAACTATCAATTTTCATAGTTGATTACAATTTTATGAGATTCTTTATTCTCAGCAACTCTTTTTTTGTCTTGAAAGTGACAAATTGCTTTTCCTCCCTACAGTTAGTGTATGCTATACACATTTCCCAAGCAATGCCCATTACGTAGGAGAGAACATCATTTTCCTACTGTTCTTGGCTTCTCCTGATCAAAGATACCAGCACTCAAGAATTTTTCATTCTTAGGCTCTGTGCTGCCTTTCAGCGTGTTCTTTTCTTTCAAAGACATTAAGGGCCAGGTGTATAAATACAACCCAAACCTACCGCATCAAACGTCACACGTAGGCTGCATTCAATATGTGCTTTATCCTTCTTTCCCAGAAGATGTGAGCCAGCGGTTTGGGGCATTCCTCTGGTCTTCACATTTTCTGCCTCATCTCTGCTTGTCAAAATGAGCACCCGGACCTGCCTGTGTTATTTGTGATACCCTGAACGAGCTGATACAAAGGGAAGCACCGCGTGCCTTTCAGCAGTTGAGCAAAACAGACCTTCTGCTCCTCTTCAGAAAGGCTGCTTCGGAGAGGATCTTCAGATATGTCTGTCTAGACTGTGCAATGCCTGACCGCGGCGTCAGACACCATGGAGTTGCTTTTAACATTGCAGTGTAGCCTCGTTAAATAGCCCGAGCGCACGTGGCTGGGTTGTGTGGCACAGGTCCTGCGGCAAGCGTCAGCAAGGACACCGCTTGCCTGCCGTGGGCCAGCGCGTGCCCGGCTTCCAGCAGGATTTGCCTGCGATGAAGCGAGTTTACTTCCCTTGGGCAAGAAAAGAAATAACCATGACAATATACTGGGATGAAAGCAAGGCTTTCTATGGGTAAACTTTCGATAAATTTGATCAGTCTGTAATACATCCAGCTAGAGCTCTGAATTCCAGAAACTTCTAATTTTTGTCAAAATTGGGCTCTAAGCTTTCTGTTTAAGTTTATATTTCCTAATTTCCTACATTACCTAATCAATGACAAGCCAGCGGAGGCTTGACAATTACAAGCCAGTGTTATAGTCTAAAAAGAGACAAAGGCGAAAGTACGATAAAGAGAATATGTTGGACAAAACCATATGAAGAGGGTGCATATAGCTAGGATCAGATTCTTTTAAGGAGAAGGCGGCAATAAAAGGAAAATATTTTGTAAGCTGGATTCATGGGTCTTGATGGCAACAGTAAGGCAGGGCCCAGGTGGTACAAAAAGGATCAAAGGACACTGGAAGAGTTACTACAGCTTTGAGAAACACTGAATTAATTGAAACTCAGTCTAAAAGTTGGGACCCGCCTGTACAAAACCATAAGCTTGGGAAGGGTTGGGGATAAACTCTTTTACTTCCAGTTGGTTCTTCTTTCTCTACTTTTTGAAATAAACTTGGAGTTTTCTCTATTAAAAAAAGAAAAAAAAATTCTTATCATTTTTATAGAATAAAAGACTCCTGTGTTTTTGATGTTAAAAGTGTATCTCCCTGGAGGAGACAGGCGAGCAGATACATCCGAGTTCTGGCTGACTTGGTTCTGTCACATTCTCTTACAGTTTTAGTCCAATACAGAAAAGCAACAAAAAACCTCCCGTGTTGAAGATGAGGTTTTTAGTTTGATGCAGACAGACAATCTCCAGCGCTGAACAGAGCTCATCAACTATACTTAGACTCTCAGTATCTTCACTCAACTCAGCTCAACTCAGTTTCTTCCCTCTAGTCCTGTCAAGAGAAATTCCTCAATTTGTCCTTTAAGTTACTAAAAACCAAGAAAGATTTCCTGAGCAGGGCTCTGCCTTCGGAACCCCGGCATGCATCTGAAGGAAAGCAACGTTGTCCTCTCATGGGTGGTGTTCCCCAACATCAGTTGCTGGAGGAAGCCACGACACAGGCAGAAAAGGAGAGACTATAGTGATGTGGGCAGCCAGCCAGCCACGTCAAAAACTGCAAAAATCCAGTTTTGCAAAGTCTAATGGCTCACATGGGAATATCAGATGCTGTAAGACAAAGATCTCTAGACCCTGCAGTGTTTTTTAGCAAGCCTGGGTTGATACCAGAATGCATGGTGTTTTTTGCAGTATTTAGTGACTACATAGCAACATTAAAAAGCCAACATGGATAGTGGGGTTTTTTTGTGTAACAGTGTTCTGGTATTGATAAGAAAAAACACGTGCAGCTGTGGTATGAAACTTCCATATAAAAAGAAAATGGGATCTTTCAACAACAAGTTAAATCTAAGTGGCAGGCATGAGTTCAAAACGAAACAACCCCTCCCCACGCTCCATCTAGCTTTCTTCTCATTCTGGTTTTAGTTCCAAGGCCTTTGGGCCTTATGTTCTCACTGATGATAAAGTCTACACTGTTGTCTGCCAACTAAACTCCATTCAGGCCTCATAATATATCACATAATATACACAGGATTAAGTTGTTAGCTTGCATTTCTTTCAACTGCCATTCATCAAACAAATAGCACTTTGAGGAAGGAAACCTATTTCCCAGCTGCAGCACGCACAATCTAGTTATCTACATTGCTGAGACTTTACAGTTTACTATCTCAAAGATGAAAAATTATTATGTAGAAACATTAAGTCAGTTTTCATTAAATCAACTGGATGCTTCGTGCTCTCCTCTAGGGACTCGCTGTGGGTGGGGAGCACTTACAGACAGCCAGAAGACCTGAGCTGCAGTCAAACCTAAACCCCACATCCACCACAGTGTTTCTTAAAGTGCATAAATATCCCTTTTTACTGTTTCTCTTCATGTCAGCCTCTCTCTATTAACCTGTGTGTAGCTATCTGCTCTCACCAGCTGAAAGCTCTCCTTTGTAGAGCTCTGCCTACATCTAGAGAAAGAACTAAGTATTAATTTTCCTTATAATACATCCCCTGTAATAAATTTACTTAATTTCCCTGTAATACTAAATACTTCATAGCAGAGTATGTCAAAATCTACCTATAGGGAGCGACGGGTTACTCTGTCTCCTATTCTGGAGATACTGCTGGTCATACCAGCACATGTAAATATGGCTTTACAACGATTTTGCTGCATGGGCAGGTCCCTCAACAAAATGCCGGTTTAAACTAATGTAATTTTAAACTAAACCCGACTGACTGAGTTTGAGGTCAGGAGAAAATAGAAAACGCTTGAATAGAAGTTCCACCAGGTGCAAATGTGGTCCAGGGGATGGAGGTGAATGAGGATGCTGAATATGGCCCGTGTGATTCTCTCACCTGTAAAATGGTTTGCCCTCATTTCGCAACCCAGCGGGCCATATCTTTAGCCAGTGTAAATAGCCCTCAGTGAACCAACCTGACTACAACCAGGTATTAATCTGACACACAGCTGGGAGTTAGATAGCTAGTTTTAGGAACAACGTGCTGTATTTATTTAAACATCCTGGGCTATTTTACGCAACAGAAATGACTTTCTGGAAGAAGAAATTATTGAATCAACACTTCTGTTGACAAAAGTCTAAGAGGTGCTTTGAAACACTGCTCTTAGCTCTATGGAAATGTTACCGACAGCTTGTTTTACAGTTAGGATACCTGCTGAAGCCCAGGTAATTACACATGTCCCCCCTTGGTACCTTTCTTTTTGACTGCCTGTGTGATAGCACGAGTGAGCAAACCCTGAGCTGCACTCGCTCTCGTACAGAGGCAATTCGGTGCATGGCTTTTCACGTCTACGCAAATGAGATTAACACGCAACTCTGCTTGCAGGAACGTTTTCATGGATTGTCATATATGCCATTTACTAACCATTCACCTGAAGGACGTGGGTCTGATATAGCTCTTCATAGCCGTAGGCATGACAGGTGTAATTGCCCATGTGAATAGTTGTTACCTTGGTGATGTAGAGAGAATCGTCTTCTCCAAAATCCTGTATGGAACAAAAGACAAGAAGGGTGCCTCATTATTTAGTAAAAATATTTTAAACACCACATGAAGGGAGACTACCTGTTCAGTGGTTTTGATAAGCTTTGCAGCTTGGGAACACAGCTTGAATTTTGAACAGTAAGTTTTAAAGTTCAGGAATCAACATGCAGGGAGAAAATGGGTGGCAATTTGAGAGTAAGGCAAAGTAACTCATCTGAGAATATGAACTTTTGTGCTGGTTGCTAACAAGGTGCTCTTTGCACATAAAAAAGATGGCAATCTCCAGCTGTTTAATTTATGGGGGCATTTAATATTTACCCACATAAAATGCTAACTTCTGGGTGGGTTAAGGTTTCCTTTATTGATGCCGGTTCTCAGAAAATGCACCGTAACCTTGAGACTTGATGAGAAAGAACTGAAACAGTTTGTCGCTTATCTCAGACAATATCCCAGGCAGGAGACAAGGAAGAAGACAAAAAGTATTTTCTCAGAGAAACTTGTTTTGATCTGTAACTGTTTGACAAGTACCTTTCTTTATCCACTTCATCTTCCTAGATCTGCTCTTGCATTACTTCAATTTTTGATTACAGATGGGGAGAATATGAGTTAGTAGAGAGGTTTTGGCACTTGAATATGTTGCACATGTGCCCTGATTAAGAATTTATTTCAAATTATAGTTAACGGAACCACAGCACTGACGGGTACACAAAGCAGCTTCTCCTGTTACTCCATTAATGTTCAGACTTCTGCAGCTCCCAAATGTTTGTACTTCTATGCAAACCCAGAAGGATACCTTTATAAAACAGTTTATGAGCTTAAAGAATGACTTTTCTTTAACTAGCTCCATGTGTGAAGCATGCTAAACGAAGCTCTTTGCAGAATTTCACTGAAAAAGCATGGTAAAATTCAACTCAGAATCCGGGTGGCACATATCCGGTTGCAGGGTGAGTGTTGAAGAGTGGTTTTGCTCGTGAAAACCCAAGGACTTTTTTTTCAAACTTCCAGTGTGGAGGTAGAAAGGCAGCCTGCAGCCAAGGGGTGTACAGGGAAAGCCACCCCACGAAGTCGTGCCTGATGCCACCCTTGTCCAGCACGGCCACGAGGAGTGAAATGGAAGCGCAGCACCGCAGCGCGGTGAGGAGGTGAAAACTCAGCGTAGACAACATAAAATAGGAATGCAAATTTTCTCTGCTGGTTGGGAGTCAGGAACTTGGGTCCCAGTTTCTTTGCGATGAAGAAAGGGAATCTGTGCACAGAGGTACGGACGCCGCTCCCTTTCCCTGCTGCGCCCAAGGCAGGTCCAATGCTACAAGGAACCATCCTCATCCACGCTGTTACTGCCACCCCCCCGCCAGGTGCTCGCAAATGATGAGCAAGAGTTGTTTGATCATCGGATGGGCTGCTTTCTAAACCAAAACCATTTGGGGCTCCTTATATCTCACATTTCCTGCCTCTTCAGGGTGCATCTGCTTTACAGTTTGAAGCTTTCCTTTCCAGCCATGGCACTTTGAACGTTTTTTGAAGGAAGCTGCAATTCTGAGGCAGACTTGCAAGGCCAGCTGGCCCCCTTAAAGAACAGTACAAAGTAGCCCGTCTCTTGCAGTATGGGATGAGCTGGCACTACTTCTGCTGGCTCTTGAATCCTCTGCAGTAACTTCTGTCTGGCACCGGAGAAATGTCTCCATGCCTCTCCTCCCAGTGGCCGGCCAGCTCTGGCAGGAGGGGAGGGAAGTTTGGGAACTCGCCTAGTTTTTAGACATGTTACAAGGCAGGTTGAGAGTGAGCACTGAGAAATACAGAGTTGACAGGCAGGACAACAACCCTTCCCAATGCTCAGACCTTGACCCGAGAGGGGACAGACGACGACAGCCCTGGTTCTGCGCCCTGCTACCCTAAGGCATGTGCTGCCCTGATGAGCAAATACATGAATGTTTATAAAGAATAAGAGGAAACCCATAGCTGTTCCTGAAATTCATTATCTATACTCAAAGGCACCTCAGATATTACTGCCACCTTAGGTGTCAGGCAGATTTGGCATCTACACTAGGGGGTAAGCTGGTTAAGCTACCCAGTACAAACATCTACTCCAAAATTCCCATTTCGAGCATTTGCCTGTTTTCTGGTCAGTTAGATCTTTCCTGAGGGAAAACAAAGATGCATGAATAACTGCAAACAGAAGAGATACCAATCCTGTTCAAATGGTATTTGCATGAGACAGAGAAAGCAGTTGCGGTGGAGGGGACTTAATAACAGTTTTTAAAGATAATCCTAAAGCAACTCAAATTGAGTTTAGATCAATAAAAGCAGGCTGGCTACTCTTATGGAATGATTTATAAGGAGTTGTGGAAAAACAGGACAATAAAATCTTCTCTGTTTTAAGTATGTTGCTTCCTTTAAGATATCTCAGAAAAATATTATGAATGCTTGGTTTGTGCTCTGTAATTGTCTTTTTATGGGAGATCTGTTTTTTTCCAATGCATACAAATGTATTAATATAAGTAAAGACCCTTGCAAAAACAAACTGATGCAAGATTACGGTATTATTCTCTTCCCCTCCAAATGCGTTTTTCTTGTAAAGAAGCTTATATTGGTAAAAGCATGGTTTATGACTTTTAAAAACTCTTTTCTGACTTCTAGCACTTAAGGAAGGTTATCAAAGATTATGTAGGTTAACACCGTATCATTTATGACAGGCATAGAAGGAAATTATCTGCCCTGCATTAGAACTTGCACACACAGAGTAAATTCACATAAGAGTACAACATTATTAAGAAAGGCCAGTATTAGATGCAGGAAGGAAAAAGTGATTATGAAATTTAGGTTCAATACTGAACCTTTTGTGGCTACAAAAAGAATACTGAATTCTGTAACAAATTAACGACTCTTTTTGTGTCTCTGTTTATTGCAGCTCACGGCTTCTCCTTATGTTTCCCTGTGGATGCAATTAGTACATTAGGATTTCACAGCTACGTTTTATATATATGCACGCAGTCTTACGCACAAGCACTTTCTGTGTATATTTTATAAAGGTAAAAACCCAAGCCCCAGAGCATTAGGAAATGATGAGTCTTTGATTACTTGACAGCCTCTAACTCTACATCTCACCCCCGCCTCCGGCAGG